TGCCACATTATGTCAGCTCTGCATTGCCTAAGAAAACACATTGCAGTTGGATTGGGGAAGTAAGAATCTGGTATTCAAAATATGTGCTAGCTCTTCTTGTGGTATATTAGTAACTTCTGTCACAAAGCATACTGGTAAACATGGCCTTAAAAGTTCTAAAGCATGTAACAAGGCTGATAGTACAGATGCACATTCATTAGCCAATATCACACTGTATTAGAAAATATTCTTGCATAATCTTTTTTTTTTCCCTAATTAAAATGAAAACAAGAAAATTCCTTTAAAAAATTGTCATGGAGTCACAATCTGAGAGAGAAAAAGTTTAAAGCTTCATACATACATTATACCTATCTCAAGTCCAATCACTGCAAGGTTAGGAAAAATGGAGTTAAGGTGGAATTTAAGTAAATTTCAGTATAGTCAGGGATGGAAAAGCATGAATAGTGCATAAAAAGATTCTGCCACATAGTGACATCATCCACGAGACACATGATTGTTGTGACTGTTGTTGGTCCTGAAGGAATGAAACTCATTTTCAAACAGAACAATTCATTTCCCCCCACCAACCCAATGCCACCCTATTTTTCCCTCACAGTAATACTATACAAGGGTAAATTTGCTGTGGAAACACAGGACACAGTGGTCTCAGAAGAATGCGGAAGAAAATAGGTTGGCCATGGCCATGTAGAAGAGTTACACTCACTTTCTAAGGCACTGAGATTTTCAGGCCATATTACATTCTCCTTGTAGACCTCTTCCCACATATCTGGAAATTAGGGCTCTACCTGATAATGCGATTCCACTTGGGCCGTAATGTAAGCAACAATGAAAACCAGAGGCTATTGAAGTATCAGAGGCAGCAGACTGTATAAAATAGGATGAATGCCTTGGACACACAGGGGGTTCTCTTTTTCATCATAGCAAGTCCAAACTTAGTGAAGTCATATGAGAGGAATTATGCAGTTCAGACATTCATAGAGATTTGATCCTTACAATCTTTATGGTAGAAAGCAAGTCAAAGATTAAGATTTTTTTCCGTAGTCTGTTATCTCTGTTATCCCAGATAGGAAATTTCTGACAGTTCTTGGGCAAAGAGCCAAATTTACACCTAGTATAAATCAATGAAACCCTATACTTTGCATTATACTTATGTCGTAACTTTCTTTATATAAACTCTGGCTTAAAATACATACGTACTCTGATGTTTATCTGTTATATATGTCATGATCTAATTAACTACTTCTGCAACTTCATATAATCTCCGTTGAAGGCAATCACTGTCCAACAAAATCTACTGAAGCTGTTGATTGCACCTTTATCTACACTGGCTGAATTTGAGCCTGTAATTCTCTGCCTCTGGTGACAAAGATGGAAGGGATATAATTTATATAAGGAACAACTACTGCCTGCTCTAATGGCTACACAATACAGTGTGAAAATGCCAGTAGTGTTGATTACAGCCCAATTTCTACTGCTCCACCAGAATTAGAAGTGTGTTGGTGATGAATTACAAGGGCTATTTTTCCTAGCCTAGGCAAGGCCATGACAATCAGAAATATTTGAACTTGATATTTGATTAATGCTGGCAGTACTATAAGTGATTTCCACTCGACAACGTCTAATTATTTAATTATTTCCCATTATTAATGGAATGAAACAATTCAAAACAAACAGCTAGAATGACTGTTTTGCAGGAAGCTCATAATGATCAATTCATACATGTAGAAATCTTACTAAAATTATATCAAGCTGGCCTGTTGAACTTGAAAGGCATATTTTATCCCAATCAATGCATAAAAGTAAAATTATCCATAACTAAGGCATGTTTCTCTGCTGTACAGTTCAGCTGTAATGATCCCCACACACTGCACTTGCACATCAATTATGATAATCATAATCACGGTCGTTAAGCTGAATGTTCATTATTATCAGGATGCTGGTGACAGCAGATTCAATCATCGGGTGCAATGGGCAAGCAGTCACAGTCCCACCCAAGTTTCTGCAGACAGCGTTGTGCCACATTAAATCTATGATGTGTTCCACATCCCACTCCATTCCAAAAGCTGTAGACGGTAAAGGTCAACTTTATGTTCTGTGCAATATGCTTAGGTTCTCTAAATTAATTCTTTGCAGTACTGGGTATTTTTATGCTTTGTAGATAATAAAATTCTGTTTAGGGCCAAAATGCCTGTGCAAATAATGAAACAGTGATGCAGTTGTACTGTAATTCACCTGTAATAAGGCATCAGAGGAAAGAATCTATCAGGAAGGAACATCTTAAAATGCCACTCCTGAATTTTGCAAATAAGAAAACGTTAAATGCTGTCATTACAGTCCGGTTTCTAAAATGCATATGCAAACTAATTCCAATACCGATTAAAGGCTGTAAGCTATCATTTCTGCCTCAGTAAATACGAACATATGTGAGTGTTTTGACAAGTGAAAGATTATAGTTAGTGTATTTGATCCCTTGACTGTCCAGCTACATTGGAACATATCGTTGTAGACTTAATTTGTAGTGACTGGTAAATTTTTTATATTGATACTTCTCACATAAATTCTATCAAAGGCATTCCAAGGTATTTAGACTACAATATTAAACTTAAAATATGCAAGCATTTTTATAGTGATTTACAACTGGGTAAACTAGCTAGATTCAGTTTCACTAGAGGAACAGTATTTCCATTTCTTGTTTATTTTTAATGAAGAATTAGAATACAACAGTTTTTCCCCTAACTCAGAAACTTCTTTAAAATATAAACAGAATGAGATAAAAATTTTCAGATAGTAACTAGATGAAAAGAAGATCTATTAACTTTTTCTCACATAGATATGATAATTATTATGTTTAGATTAAGTCTATGCTAATACCCTTTCATTTTCCAGAAGAAATATAACTGGGCAATATTTTTCATTGTTGTTCATTTTGCTTCTAAAGTAATTATATAATTTACATACTAATCTTTTTGTGACTAGAATTAAAATGCATACTTATAAACACATGAAAACCTCAGGAAAATATAACTAGGAGGGTTGTGTTTAGCAGACAAAGTGTTATTCAAAAATCTGGGTTTCTTTGGTAATATTTTGATATACGCCCTTTAGCCTTGTGATTCATTAGAAAAGTAAAGTTTTGTTCATAGCACTTATATATACAAAATTTTAACACAGTTTAGGAATAACAAAGTGACGGAGAGTTCTTTCAAATTTAACAGTTATGAAAGTATGACTTCACACCTGCCTATAGGACCTTTTCCATTAAAACATAGTGAGGAGGTGGAGTTTTTATTTTTTTTTTGCTGATAATAATGACCCATTAAAGCAATAGATAGGTCATAAATAGTTCTTTTCTCCTCTTATCTCTCTGTTTGGGTAAGCGGCTACTAATTGAAGCTTCATATTGATTTAGAATTGGGGTTGGAAGGCTGTATGTCATGTTGGGTTAATGTATACAGCTATTCACCTCTAGAGATTTAGGTTGAAATCTATCCAAGATCACAAGTAAAGTGAGTTTAGTTGTTTCAGCTAAGCCCATAATTTATATTATATATGTGTGATATGATATACAGTATAAATATCTTTACATTGTTTGGTATCATCATCTGACCCTGATCAAGAACTGCTAAGGACTGGAAAAGGAAGAGTCTTTACAAAGCAAGATGAGTACCACCAATAAGACTTTTAGATCTTTTTTATATATCATACTTTATGCTGTGGGACTTCAGCCAGTCCTATCCTCCACTCATTGCTTTTGAAAGACAAATTCAGGTCTTCTTGTTTGAATGGTGATCTTTGTGCCTTTACTTGCAATAAGATTTAATTAATGTATGTTAAAATACCAAAATTTTACTCTGAGCTCAGTTTTAAAGCTTAAAGTTTTGAGAAAGAATTCTTTTAAAAAACATTACTTCTCACAAAATCCTGTTTAAGTTGGAAGAGACCTCTTGAGATCATCTAGTCCAAGCCCCCTACCTAGCTAGAGCAGGTTGCCTGGGACCATGACCAGTTGGGTTTTGAATACCTCCAAGGATGGAGACTTTACAACCACTTTAGGCAACCTGTGCCAGTGCTCTATCACCCTAACAGTTAAAAAAAAAAGTTATTTCTGTCATTCAGATGGAATTTTATGCAGTTCAGTTTGTGTCCATTGCCTCTTGTCCTGTCACTGGATACTACTGAGTCTGAGAGGAGTCTGGCTCCGTTTTCTTCATTCTATCCTATCAGGTGTTTATACACATTGTTAAGAACTCCCATGAGCCTTCTCTTCTCCAGACTCTCCAGAAATGTTCCAACTCTCTCAGCATCTCTTCCTACAAAAGATGCTCCAGTTCCTTAACTATCTTTGTGGCTCTGTGCTGCATTCCCTACCAAGTCCATTATTTTTCTTGTACTGGGAAATTTTAATGTGATTATAGTACCTAATACAAACAGAAATAATGCAAACATTACACAAACTTGTGTTAGAACATGTTATGAGGAAAATTATCTCTTGTAGCTCTTCAAAACCAGAAATATAGGAGATGCTCCTGAAAGTAGGCAGTTTAATGAGGTTATCTTAAAATAAAAGCAGTTATTCACTAATTTTTAGAATTTTCCAAAGAATGTAAGCAATAAAATATTTTGTTGGTTTTAATCAGGTTTTGCCATAATTTTCTGAATGTTTCTCTTCATGTGCAAGAGTGAAGATGCAATCTCTCTTAAATCAGGAAAGGCAATACAGATAGAACAAAACTTATATAACCAAAGGTGTGCTTAACCTGGCTTTTAAATCCTTATCTTGTAGGTAGGAGAGGTGTTTCATTTCCTCAAACTGAACTTACCAGAAAGAGTTGAGGAAACCTGATGTCTCATCACATCAGCTCTAACTATGTGATTTTATAACACGCTAGAAAGATTCCCATCAGATTCCATGATCTCTGGATCAGGCCCAAATTCACTCAGTTCTAACACAATAATAAACTAAAAAAGTAAACCATTCTTTAATTTTTGCAGTGACTTACCTTGTCTGTTACCCACTTCTTAGGCTGTACTTCTCGGAAGTGTTTAAATCCGTAAGTTTCTTGGCCATATTTGCCTGACCTATGAATTGATGGTTCATACTTCTCATTTTTATGATACGAGGAAAATGGCAGAAATCTGAAATTCAAGAATATTTAAAAATCAGTTCTGCAACAGGACTGATGTAAATCATGGGTACCAATGCTAGAGGAGGTGACATGGACACATATTCCAGCTATTTTCCACCATCTTCTTAAAATTTCCCCTCAGTATTGTGAGAGGATTACTGCAATTTCTCCTATAGTTGCATTTAAATTAAATTTGGAGGAAAGAGATATAGAGTTTCAACAGGATAAAATTAAGACTTTCTGTACAAAGATATAACCTGGCTCACTTGCATTACTACATCATTACCTTGGCTGTATCTGCACTACCAATGTGAAGAATGAGCAAGGCTCAATTTGCTGGGATCTGCATGATGCCACCTCAAGTTTTAGCAGGCAGCACAGCCTGTGGCAGCTGTCAGCGGCAGGCACGCACCATGCATGTGTATTGAGCTCATTTCTGGAGAACTTCGCATCCACTTTACAAGTCATGTAGGCCCCTAATACATAACCTCAACCTGATCACTCCATCAAGACTGAAACATTTCAAGCATGCCAGCAGTATTAGCATAAAACAAGGCAAATTTGCGCCATAAAGAATCCTCCCTGTACAGCATCCTTTGATATCTGTAATCAAAACTAAACAAACTGTATTCTCATATAGCAGAATAGAAACTTATACAAATAGTACTGTTGACTTTCACGTATTGGCAGACCACAAAGCAAAGAAATTATCTCTTCTGAATTCACAAATTGTGTGCTTTTCTCTTCATTTATAATTATGTCCTAATTAGCAATCTTTTGGAGCCTGATTCTTTCACCTTTGGTCATACTGATGGTGGACTGCTTGCTTATAAAGTGCCACTGAACAGCGATGCTCCAGTTACCTGCTTTGGGCATGAAAGAAGTTTTCAGATTGATGTCCCTAATTCTTATGGACAACTACATGTTCTCTGGATAGGTTCCACAGCAAACTATGGAGGAAGGTGAAAAACATCTCTCTATATAAAGGATCTGCAAGAAACCCTACAAAGACATATTAGTTTAATGTATTTCAGTTTGCAAGAGATTTATGAGAGCAAACAAGTACATTTTTATATAAAGTAAAACCTTGTGAGTTGAGCTTATCATTGCTCATATTCTGAAAAAGCAATATGCATTCTTTATTCTACAAGTGCAGGAAAAGTTATTACACAGTAAAATTAGAAATATACACTTCAGGAGTTTAAAACATCAATTTAACTGCCATGACAACAGGTGTAGTTAATTAAAACCTTTTCCTACTTGAAAGTATTTCAGAATCCAGATTCCCTATAAGAGTTAGACAGTCAAACAAGTTTTTGGTAAAGATGAGGATTAAAATACCTTTCTTTGTCTCTCAGCTGATACAGACTCAGAAAATTATTTATTTGGACTAACTAATCCATCAGCAACTGTTTGAGTGTTTGTTTTCTTGAATTACATTTCTTTCTTTCCACTTCATAAAAAGAAACTATTTTAGAATCTTGCCAGCTATATCAATTTATTTTATCAAGTACCACAAACAAATGTCATATAAAGTTAGTGAAACAAAACTACTGAGTTAGCAGGCTTTTAAATTATACAAAGCTATAGTAGCATGTGTATACTCATGGGAAAGGACACTCTCACATAAGACAGATTATGGTACTTGTAATGCTAATTTGCACATGGGATGGACATCACACACACACAAAAATTAATGTGGCCCCAGTGTCCCAGAGAATACATCGAAGGTGCTGTGAGCCGGCTGCTCCACTTGCAGTTTTTATCACTTCTGAATTGCATTTTAATAGTACATTTTTCTTTTGTTCAGACATGAAAGAAAATTGGCTTCCTCAGGGGACTGGATAGCTGAGAAGACAAGGCTAGCAGTTTAGGGATTTGCCCATATATGCATAGAATTTAGTTGAGCCATAGCGTTCATAATTTAATATTAATACTATGTCTGTAAAACTTATACACAAAATGGCAAAAAAAAATCTTGAGGAAAGTAGAAGATAAAGAAAATTATTACAGTTTTCCCTATAAAATTTCCTACACAGAGGTTTTGATTTTACTGTGGATCAGTTTACCTTTGTCTTTTTAGCAAATGACTACTCAGAGTAATCTATGTTCTACCATGACTCCAAACAAAAAAAAACAAACATATATTGTAACATTTTAAGACACAACCAACAGGATGTTCTACATGTAGTTTAGCACAAATTTGACCTTCTGCATTCTGCTGCATATCTTGTCTAAGAACATTAACTGGAGTATGTGCCATATAGCCTGGAATGTACGTCTATGGCTGAGTAAAAAAAATTGAAACAGCTGAAATATTGAGCAAGAACATTGAACAATAAAAAAATATTAAAATTGAAATGAAATAACATTAAAAATATAATAGGGTATAATGGTATAAAGTAGAAAGTGTCTTTTTCCTTCTGTTTATAGGTCTGCTGTGAGGGCCAGGTGGGCAGATCCTTATAGCATTAACGATCTAACTACAAGACAGAATCATGTGCTTGCAAATTCAAGGTCTGTTTAAAGCAAGTAAGAATTTTCATTACTCTATGGGAATAAGTAATTAAAAAGAACATTAAAACTATTTTTTGTGTTAAGTAGGGTAACCAAATTAATGGGAGTCATACAGAAGTCATTATACCCCCACAACCAATAATCATAGTAAAAAGCAACAGCACTGCAAAACACTTCAGTAATGGTATTGTGTTCTGTAGCTCTATATATACACCTGACACAGCTTTTCCCCAAATTAATGGCAGTATGTGCTCTGAATGTGACAGAAGAGAGTGATGGAAGCAAAGGAAAATGAAATCTAGACAATGGTATGATACCATTATCAACTGCCAAAGTTTATACCTCAATAGTTTTTTTCCACAAAAAGTTCACTCACAGGATTCTGACATCTGGGTTTCAGCTTTTCGTTGTGATTTAAGTGTAGATTCAGAAATTCTTAAAGGTTTTCAGTAAATGACAGAGGCAGAAGCAGTAGGATCAAAGAAGAATTAAATTCCATATTGATGTTATATTGTGCCATAAACCAGTTAGTATAAGCTGGGCCTTTCCAAAAGTTGATGATTTAATGGGAGGTAAACTTTCCCTAAAGATATAAATTTAAAAATGAATTTTTTTTCATTTCACCCACCACAAAAGCTTGAATGAGAGATATGCCAAAGAATACATTCAAGACAGGGGGAAAGAGCTGGAACCAAAAATGGGAAACTGTCTCAGGTTCTACAAATAGCAGTATTGCACATACACAACCTGAAGAAGGACCAGGACCAAAGCTGGCAGGGTCACCGGTAGTGAAGGCCAGCTGTGCTGTTGCCAGGACCATGCTATGTTGAACATAATTAGTATAAAAAAAACCCTAGGAACCTAAGCTTAGTAGCCAATCCTGGACCTGACAGCTGCTAGTGGCGTGTATTTAAATTTTGAGAGATACCCTAGATATTTGTTGTTAACAAAAATAAAAATTGCTTTCTCTCTCCCTTCACTCATCCTGCCCTGCAACTCCCTGCTACTATTAATTTCATCTTTTTAATCCCTCTTTCCCCCACATTTTCACCCCATCATGATCTTTCTTCCTGCATCTCCTCACCTACCATTTCTTCCCTCCATTCTGTCTCTTTTATTGTAATATCTCTCACTATTGTGACAGGAGATGGAAGAGGCCTCTTAGACACTGAAGGCTTTCCAGCTGGATTGACCGCTGATGGTAGAAGCAGCAGGAGGGGCTGGGCTCTGGTGTCTATGGCAGTGTGAAAAAGAGAGAGTAGTGGCATAACCTGGAAGGAGGATTTGTCAGGTCCACCATTTGCTGCTGGGTGGCAGCGTCCCAGTGCTCTACAGTACCTACCAACAGGACATAGTTCAGAGGCATTCACTTTTTCTTTGAATTTAAATGGCAGTAAAAAACCAGAGTTTTTTCAGCACATTCTCTGGATCTGCCCAAGAGGCAAAATCCCCCAAAATAGCAGTCTAGCAGTGTAAGCATGTAATCTGGATACCAGAAATGCTTCAAACTTTGCCCAGACTTCTGAGAAAGAACTGGCAGTAGACCTACTGCCAGATTGCCACACATGCTGCACTACCAGAGTACATAAGAAATACTAAAGCCAGAGAACTAAAAGGAATATTCTGCTTACAAATATTATGAAAGTTTGAAAAACCATGTATGTACTGTACATTTTTGTAATTTAGTAGTAAAAATACTACCAAAGTCTTAACTCTAGATGTGTGATAAAGTTGTTAAATTTTTATCTAAAGTAGTTCCATGCAATAGCAATTAAATTCCTTATTGTCTTGATCTAATTTGAATAAAACAATTTTATCTCACTTTGAAGAAGACCATGAACTATTAGCTCCAAACAAACTATGCTTCTCTATTGGGAAGCTGTGAATATTTAACCTTTTTTTTTTTTTTTAAATAACACATGAAATCAGTTTTAAGCTTTCAAACTTGGGTTATAGCTGAAGTAATTTCTTCATCAAATCCAAAAGTATCTTTCTTTTCACCCCCCTTCTCTTTATCTGCTGAGGATAATATATCCAGTGTAGCCCTATATCTAGTACTGGGGGGACAGTGGTTTTCCATAGCAAAACAACTTGCAGCAGGGCAGCTATTATTTAGTTCATAATGAGTGCATATTAAAATCAAAGCTTTATTTACAAAAATAATAACATATCTAGTCAGATTACCTTTAGTGCAGTTTTTTTTTCCGTAAGAAACTTACTTTGTATGCTTTATCACATATATTGTCTACAGTAATATACCAAATACATACTTTTTCAATCGACTATCAATCACTTTTATCCTAACATTAGTAAATCTAAGAATCCTCTGGCAGTTTTGGTTTAACCCCTGTCTGCGATAAAGCAAAGTGGCAAAGAAAAGCATAGTCTAGTTCTTGTATGAAGAAAAAGAGATCTCTTTTGCAGCAAATTCCAGAACTTCTTAATTATACACAGACTTATTATCTGCATCCCCAGTGTTATAAAGTACCAGAACTTCATTAGAAAAATTAAGATGGAAAAATGAAGGCGCTACTTTGTAAATTTCCAGTGGAAATTAGCTGGAAGAAGCAGAGGAATACTGGATCAAAAGAGGGTAATCATGCTTAACTGTGCCCTAGAGCACCCGCATGTATAATACGATTTGCACAGTAACTACCTCTCCTATTACTGCTTGTTTGGAGTATTCTGTGTTAATGGGGTTAGCTAATTTAGTATTTTAACTTAAAAAGACTCTGCTGATTAATAAATGTTGCACACTGTGCTAGTAATTAAAATAAATGGAAGAGTTACAAATAGAAGTTGAATTGTTAAGAAAACATTATCTGAAAATATATGATAATCCCTGTTTATCATAATACAATAACAGTCCGGAAAATATGCAAATTGCTGAAGTTGCAAAGCATATGAAAAACTAAGTATAATTTGAAAAAAGTTTTCAGATGTGCTATATTTATATGACAAAGTGTAGTAGCCATTTTCACTGCATCTAAGTCAGAAATACAGGAAAAGATCTTATAAAAGTAGAAATGAAAAGATTTTTTTCATTCTTAAATCTTATCAAAGGGACTTGATTTTTAAATTTTATTACCATTAATACCAGGCAGCTCATAACACTGATGCTCTCCAAGTACAGAGCTTATTTAGATCATTAACTTCTCTGTAAGTGGACCTTCTGTGCACAGCACTGTAAAGCACAGAAGCACCTAAGCTGGTTCTAAAGGATGTTTGCACAGCATGTGAGAGGCAGGGTATGCAAAAACTGTACTCTGCTGCACCCAAATGAACCAGTGTGTCCAGGACTACCTTGGCTATCTCCATTAGAGCACTGAGCATGGACATAGCCAGAAGCTGTCATGACTAGCCTGATGTCACACCAGAAGACTACAATAAATCAGGAAACCTCAGCCTTACACTATTGCTGGTTTATCCCTATTCTATCAACACATTGCAACTCATTCTGATGTATGTTGACTTTATAAAAATGTTTAATAGTACACTTTGAACCATGAGGCATATTATGAGACAGATTTCAGTAAAGTTAATGAAAATAATTTACATTTTAGTTCTCTGGAAAATTAGGCCAGCATGCAGCTGCATGCAACTGAGCAAAGAACTTCTCATGCTTAGTGATCTAAATCTGCTAGATCCAGCAGTTGCTGCCTCCAACTAGACACTAGTTTATTAAGTGGCCATCCCAAAGGAGTCCAATTGTCATTCCTATCCAAGCAGAGGGGGAAATCACTTCATTTGTATGAAAAATAGCACAGTAAGGCAGTAACAGCTTCAATTACATGAGAAGAAGGAATCATTCTTATTAGGCTAGATTACCCAGTTGCTCTTTCATTCCAAACCAGGAAATTCCAGCAGTTGCTTTAAGTAAGCACAACATTCTCTCTTGCTTTCACTTGTACTGCTTCCACCTGCCTCAAACTCTTCCACAGCTTTTTCAATTATCTCTGCGTTTTATCAGAAGCAAAAACTTATTCGGAGCTTGAAACTCTTAGAGAAAACATATTGCCACTTTAAAGAACCTTGATAACGATTGAGAACCTGAATGTTTTTTGAAATTGCAGGTATACACTGACAATTTTTCTGTCTTAAGAGATATCACACAATAGTCACTCTGGAAATAACACAGGTCAAGGACTGAGTTTGCCATTTTATGCAAACACAAGCTTTCCAACAAATGCCATGCACTTCCCCTGTTCATTCTCATTTTCTAAAATAGAAGAATAATCAGCATAGGAAGCACTACCAGGAAGAAATACAGTCCCAAAGTACACAATTACATAGAAAGAGACAGAAATTTGTCAATTCATAATAGACACTGCTGAGAAAAAAAATATCTGAGTAACCCTTTACTGACTCCTCCCTGGAGACTGGCATCCCACACAGCAGCTGCAGCCTTACTAGTAAGCGTTAGTCCTGATGATGACCTGCAACTCTGTCATCACCTTTTCAAGGTTACAGATGTGACCCTTGCATGGTTGGTTGAAAATGAAGCACAAACAGAATGATCACAGCCTGAAAATGTATAATACACTATGCATTTAGTGTGCATGAAGCTGAGAATCATTGGTGTTAGGACATTGCTTCTGTGCATTAAGGATGGCACTAAATGCTTCTTTACCCATAAGGTAAATAAAGACCCCTGATCAGTTAATACCTGTCAAAGATGGAGACTCCAAATTTAAACTTTACAAGACCATAGCTTCACAATTCACTCACTGAAGAGAGTCAGTGAAATATTTATTACAAGATCTGACCTTCTGAAACTGTTGACACAGTGATGTCTGAGGTAAACTTCATCTAATAAAGGCTGGCCAATATAGTCATGCCTATAAATGAAGGATATCATCCAACCTTACTTGAAATGTATTAGTCAAAACTTACTCAGTGAAAAAAGAACACTTAAAATGAGAGGTAGAACATTAATTATTACCCAGAGGTTGGGGGTTTTTTGAGTTTCACTGGCAGAAGATAGAAATAAAATTTTTTTTTAAAAAAAAGGCCCAGATTTAAGCTGAGATATGAAAGAATGCAGAGAGGAATAGAAAACTGAAGTACGTGTTTACTTGTAACTTAGTTATGGTTTTGGTTTGAAAGGAACAAAAAGTACTATATCTCATTTTTGGCAGCAAATATAAAAAATAACATTGCCTAAAAGTGGAAAAGTAGCTGAAGAGATTTTTTTTTTCTTTCAAAACTGTTTTTGAGTAGAGTTTCCGTTTAAAATCACTGTTAATATTAAATCGGGAAAATGTGAGGAAAACAATCAAACAATAAAAACCTAAAAGCCAAACAATGCGAATGTAATTGATTCTAGCATTCTTAAGTCCCAGTCCCAGAAGATGACACATGTCAACATGGAGCTGATAGAAAAGCTTGAAACAGATCAAAGATAGCAAAGCTTCATGTCAGTGGATCACAGGTGGCTCATGAGGAAAAGTGATTCCTTTCTGCCCTGAATTCTGGTATTAAAGTGTCAAAGTATTGCCAAGAGCAGTGAATTCAAAGGAAAAGTTGACAAAACATCAATTTTTTCTACTTAACTACAAAGCCAGAGCAGGTAACTTAACAGGCTTTTATTATAATTGGACAAAAGAGTTCCATCATGATAAGAAAAGAATTGGAAATATTTTGGCAATAGCCTAAACCTTTTGGGATGGATAACGTCTGTATTTGGGATTGTATGGAAAAGAATTGGCCTGTCTGAGACTATTACAGATGCAATGGCTTGGGAAACCAAACTGCTTCAAAGATGATTAGTTTTTGCATCACGTTCTAACAGGTGCAACGTATGTTCCCTTCCCTTCCAAGTCAGCTTTGGTAGTCAAACTGGGAGAGAAAGCAAGTCTCATTGGCGTGCAACACCATTTTTTCCTCCCATAGTCTGTAAGTTCCCTGAATACAAAGACTGAAACAGTATTTTTTCCTTGGCAAGGTGCATGTGGCAAAACAGAATGTGCATTTGTTTTCTTATTTCCCATTCAACCCATCTGTTGCATCACATTATTATTATTACTACTAGTTCTCCTATAGATCCATAGATATGGATGACACATGCCACACAATTACAAGATAGGGTCTCTGCCCTGAACAGTTTATAATCTAAGGACACAGAATTTAGAAGTATGTACATAGAACGTTTGCTAGTAAGCTGTCAGGTTTGACATTTCATTTTGTCAGGCATGAAAGGTTTCTGAAAGCAACGGAATAAGGAAAACATTCCCATAACAATACAAGAAAAAACAAAGAACTCACTCATTGTCATGTATACGGTTTCTCCATTCCTCCCTTTTCATTTCCTCTCTGGCCTTCTCTAGTGGTGAATTGATTGATGCTGCCACTCGCAAGGTTGGTTCCAAAGGCTTGTAGCGCTGCCGCAATACTTCAGCAGTATCGCGGAAAGGCCCCTGAAAGGTATAGGATAATGTAAGTGTTTTATTGTGGGTTACAGTTCTTTTCTTTCCTTCTTTTATTCATGACACATCACTGATGAAAGAGGACACAATGTCTGGGAAGTGCAGCAAGACTTTTCTTCCAAAATAATTAAAGCAGTTCATTTTGATAGAGTTACAGATAACACAAAGGTTGATAACATGCTCTAAAGCTCCAAAGATAGAATGAGAAATGTGTGCTCCAGATTTATTTAGCTACTAATAAATATTTATTATTTTAAAACAATACTTTGTTAGAACTGATTAGGAAAACTTAGTTTTTCCTTAGAAAAAAATATTGGTGTATCTAGATTCTGCTTAACCAGAAAGTTTAAGTCTTTTCCTTTTATCAATAATGCTTCACCTTAAAGAACATGCTCTTTTTGATTTACCTATAAACTGGAAGGGAACTTAATACATGACTCAAGATATAATTCTTCTAACACAATTCAAAGTAATCACTTCAATAATATAGGTGTACAGTCCATTTTTGAAAAGTCTAATTCCACATTAATTTAATTGTTCTTAAAAAACCCAGGAAGCTCATACTTCTCTCACAAGTCTCTCTCTCTATACACACACGTATATATATATGTATCTTTTTTCCAGAGTATATTGTTTAATAACTGATCATATCAGCATCTACCATTTAATAAGACAGATAAATAGCAGCAGGAAGTCCTCTTCTGTGCAAAGTGACATAGCCTGTATCTTGCTTTTAGTACTAACACAGTAAGAACTTACCCGGAGTATAATTAGTGCCGTATTAGGCTCAGTACAGTTTAGTGGCAACTCTGAATTTAGAAGTGCTACTAATTAATTTTTATTTTATTTTCATCATTGTTGATCCTGCAATGAACTAGTGAAACCTTCAGAAACTATGAACAGACAAAGAATGCTAATCATAGCCTTTATTCTTAAAGATACCCTTCTTTAAATAGGTTATCACTAACAAGTCACAGCTGGAGTTACTGCAAGCACTGAGTGAAGACTGTGGGGCTAATAAAAAGAAATGATTCACGCCTCATTTATGTTCACTTATGTTTTACATTAATAGAAACCAATAATAGGAACCAGTTACCATAAAAGTCATGGACCGTAAATAACACAAATGGCAAATAAGTATCATCTAGTACTTTTCACAGCTGGACAGGAGGATTGCTATATTTGAAAGTAGTTAATGGATTTTTATTGGAACTTTACTTTTTAAAGGAACAGCACCATGATTTGGAGATATTTTTAAAGGTCCTGGTAAGCAAGTGAGCACAGTATTTACACTTCTTGCAGGTGTTTTCTTGCTTCTACTTTCTAAGTCTGTGCAAAAAAAATGTTCATTTAATAGGACCACAATAAGTCTTTAAAAACAGAATTAAAAGTGTTATTGCCTGTGAGAGAATAATCAATACTAGAACAGGTGATTAAAACTAGTAAGCAATGTTCTAGAAATATAAAATCTGATGATCAAGTTATAAAAGAAGTTTAAAATTTATAACCAAAAATTAATACTCTGTATTGCGAGATGTTTGCATGAAGTGGATATATGGAGCAAAGAAGAAAGAAATGTACTATTGTCAAATAATATCAAGATAAATATGTTTGCTTTTAGAAAATAGTCTTTCAGAATATTGTATTTCTTCTTCATTGTAAAATATTGACTCATATTCCATCAGGGTAAGGGCCAAATCAGATATGCAAGCAAGGATTTTTTTCCATCTTTAATTTCTAAGACCTTCTAACTCATTCTCAATCCATAGTTCAAATGAAATTAATGGAGTCCAACTATTAATGGAAGGAGGGAAGAAAGAGAGAAACAAAGCAAAGGTTTCTCAAACAAGGCTGTGCCATCACTAATGAAAGTGGGGTATATATGTTAGAATATTAAAATAACTCTAAACATTCCCTGCAGACTTTTCCATTCTTCTGGATCATGTATTTGAAGAAACTTACCTAGCAATAGGCACCTAAGGAATATATCTAAGATGACAAGACCTCTAAAAAACCCATTTACCTATGTCCATTTTACAAGATTAACTTTAAGGTTTGTGGAATCTGTGGTAGAATGGTGCTCATGAATGTTTTCGAATTGGCAGTGCCTGCAAGCATTTCAGGCATCATGCTTCAAAACGGAAATCTTCCTGGGGAGGTCAGGCTGGGAAAGGAAGGGAAGGCGTCAATCAACAGTTTTCATCCTGAAAGCAACTCACACAACTATATGGTCTATGTTTGGAATTTGTACTGAGTAGCATAAATCTCGCTACCAATTGGTCTGCCAAATAAAGGTTAGAAGATTGGCACTCTTACTACTTTACCATAAAATCAGAAACTCATGATAAAAATTATGATCTACATGAAACTATACGTTCTTCACTGCCCCCGTTCCAGAAGAGCTAGCAGCATGCAAAAAATCTCCTAAAAATGGCAATGTGCTTTCTGTTATTAATGTCTTTTAATGAACAGATGACTAATTTTAGCATTATCTGCGTTTCCATCAAACCGTAATTCTAGTTAACTCAGTAATAAAAATGATAGATCTAACTGATGTATAAGCATCATTAAAACTTTTCTTTTAAATACACTATTTTACACTCGCAGAGCTTACCTATAAAATGCTAAACACCCATTTCCCTAAGAGGAAGCTGATAGATAGCTAATTTTTATTCTTTTAAACACATATAATTGACATTCTCATATAAAATATACAACCCTATCGGCTATACGAATTTTAGATACCTGAAAGAACAGTGAAGTAACAAGTGACTCACAGTGGGCCTGATAGGTATTAGAAAAAGAAGTTTGGTGCCAAAAAGCGTAACCACAGAGAACTAGGACACAAGTATATCTAGTAATTAAATACCTTACTGTCACACCAGACAACTTTCAGGATGATGCGTTCTGATGGGTTTCATTTCCAGCTGTTTCATCAGCTCAAACCAGTGTCCTTTTCTTAGACATACAACCCTAAATTGTCCAAGTGTTGTGCAGGGATTTAGCCGTGTGACTCCCATTAACATCAATAAGAGTCGCACAGCTAAATCCACGCGCTGTGCTTTGAAAATTTACCCCACAGTGTATGTCCCAGGGTGCTGAAAGGATTAAAGTATTATATAGTAAATTCCCTCTTTGAGGTGCAGAAAATAAACAGAACTCTTCTGGTTTGTTCTAAAAGGCTATCTGTGCACGACTGCTGTGCATGCATCTGAACTTAGAAAGGTCTATAAAATATTAGAAATCCAAACAGAAGCTTGTAAGATACTTTGTAAAGCTGTTTTGCAAGAGCAACTTAACAATGGAAAACCTCTGAGTTCCCTCTTTATTTAAAAGCATGACTCCTATACTGTATCCACTAAGCAAAATCTTCCTCTCTATCCTGAGAGACAGTGCATTCAGTCACATCCCATTGAAGGACCATCATAGCCCCTTTGGTCCCAGAAGATAAAGTGATAATGTCATATTTATCTCAACCCCAATTCCCTGATCGCCCAAAGTGTTTGTTGGCTCACACTTTGTCTCAATTCTAATGTGAGTCAATGCGTTCATTCAATGAGGAAGCTCAAGCAGTCAAGGTAGATAGGACGTAAGAAGGGAAGGACAAAGGTGGAGAATTGCCCTGAAGTTGATTCTTGCTGTTATAAGTGGTGTGGATCTCTGTGTGGCTCACCTCTACCTCTCCAGAGGTATTCTGGCAGGCCTACATATTCTCCTCATGCTCTAACCCAATTGCCTTTGACTTCATCTCCCACCACTGGTACAGACTCATCCTGCTATGGACGAGTCAGTCATGACATACAGATGAGAAAAGCTTATTCTGTGTGGGTTAGCCAGTATATTCACAGCTGTCCCCACTGAATAACAATGTGGACGCAACCAGTAAACCACAGGTAAATTGTGGCAGATGGCATGCATACACATAGATTGAACCCAGCACTAGTTCAAACTTAAGATTGTGTTCAGATCGCCTCTACCAAGGGCTGTGGGGAAAATAGCCATATTGATTCAGAGGAATAAAATACCAATAAAGATATATTATACCTTGCTTATTGCTCTTTATTGTTGTTTAATTTCTGTAGCTAAATGATAGCTTCAGTGAAAGTTACTGAGAAGGACTCATTTAGAAGCATTGCCTTTCTAAGCGAAATATGGAAGATAAAATTTAAATATAGGACAGAGTTCTGAAGACATTGTGGTCATTCAAAGTCAAACCAGCACTGTAAGTGTATGTGTGAGGTAAATAGAAGGTTCAGGAGATTGGGCAAACTGAAAAGTTCTTCCGAATAGAGGGAAAGGCAAAATATTTCTATCCCAAAGGCACCTGTATCAGGCATTTACTGGCAAAAGCTACATGTCATTGTACCATCATCAAGCGAGGAACACAAATGTCTCAAAAGTCTGTCTGCTGTGTATATCGTGTATATCCCAGCAGGTTTTGATAATAAGGTGGCAAAAGCTGTTTTGCCATCTTGTGGGACATTCACTCTGATGCATTATCTCAGAGATCTCCACTACCTCATAGAAGAAGGAAAAAAACTATCTGCAATACATGTTGACATCAACAGAAATTAAAATTGAGGCCATGACAGTTGGGAGCTGGGCAACTTGGCTGTGATGTAGAATAAAACATAGAAATTTTTGTATTAAAGCTGACACACAGCTAGTAGACACAAAAGAGCAGGAACTATTCTATACTGAGAGGATGTCTCTTGGCCTTCATAAGGAAAAAACTGCAGAGAGGAAAACGTTATCACAACTGGTTAATTTGTCCTATTACCTTTCATTTCTCCTATTTTTTATTGATTTAAAATTGGAAATTAGTAATTCTACCTCTAATGAATCATAATACTAATATTCAATTACATCATGTCTTCCCTTTGAAATATCAGAAATGACATTTTTTCCCAAAAGAACAAAAGTAAAGTCTAAAGAATCATATTTCCCTGTTTTTACTTACCACCTAGATTTCTTTTTCTTTAAGACAAATCTGTTTCAAAGACTTTATATCCTGAATGCAAGCACTAGATCTTTATATAAAAACCAAATCCACAAAAGGGATTTCTGGACTCGATGATGCAACTTGAGATATTCTATGATAATCTATGATAAAAGATACGAACAAAAGCTGCCTCAGACACAAAAATGTTACCTGAGGTTTCTGTCTGCCAATAGGTGGTAGAGGTTGTGCTGTGGAGAAAGCCAGAGGCCTTCTGCAGGTTGGCCAGTCATAGAGCTCATTGGCAAAGGGACGCTGAATTTGCTGCCGTCTGTGGCTCAATGGCTTTGACATCCGTAGCAGCAGTTCCATTGGATCTGGGGATTTTCTGAACGGTGAATTGTAGATGCCTGCAATCTAAGAAGAAGATGGGGTTATCTTCAACTAACTTAGAACTCATTCTTGCATTTATTCTATAAATCAAGTCAATTAAAAAAAAAAAAACCAAACCTATATAATAAACAGTTCTACACAAAGTTTCTGATGACTACTAACGTGCGATAGATCCACAGTTTAAATGCATCTCTGGGCATTGCATTACAGTTACAAAAAGGTTTAAATAAGATAATGTGATGTATAATCTCTGTTTCAGCCCTTCAGATGGGGGTAACTTTCATTTTATGGAAGGAAGAGCTTCCTGTATCTCTACTGACAGCAGTTGTCAAAGAAAGGAACATGCCAGTTTTCCCTTTAAAAATAATTAAAAGTGTACAAAATTGTATCTAGTTTTAAAGGCAAACTTATAGTTGTTTTGAAATTTAAAGTTTAATTTAAGCTCCAATTTAAGTTCCTATACACAATAGGAACAAAAATATATTACCTATTATTTCCAAACACATACTTAAAGAATAAAATAAATGCTTACGCAAGGCAACATAACTCTTGTCCCTTTAAACTATGTGCCAGTTGACTGACAATGTGGACTAAGACAGTGGCAACTACAGAATTTTTAAAAGTAAAACTGAGTGATTAGTTAAGGGAAAATACAAGAAAATGTATGGAGTACCAAGAACCACTAATTACTTTTTTCCAACAAAATGTTCACATTAAATTCTTTTAACTATTTGAATGTATTTGGTTTTAAAAGTATAAAACTTATGAAAACCAAAAATCTAGAATAAAAATTTCTGAACTGTGAATTAAACTGAAAGATTCATTCTTCACTGAATTCAGTATTTCATTTTTTCAGGATACATCATTAATTGCATCACTAGTGTGATCTAATATAACAATTATTAATATAAATCATACATTTCAAATTCTGAAGTAGTAATCCATGTCATTAATAATCAGTGAATATCTGGCAAGTCAAAATTATGTGACAGACTGTTCCCAAATCATTGCTATAAATATAGGGATTTTATCAGTTGTAGATAAACAATTCTCAAATAGACATATGTGAGTTTATTGAATTAATTATGATGTGTTAAACATAAGAATTCCTATACCATATTGCACAAAGGCACTAAATCACCTATAAAACAGATGATATAGGCTTAAAATACACCTGGCAAAAATTAATTTAAAGATACTGAAATATTGATTAAAAATAGTAAGAAAAGAAGTCAGTTTCATGATGTGGGGGAAGGTAAGGAAAAAAGTAAATGTTTAAAATCTTGCATTTCTCCTTTGGAACACTACTGAGGACCCATGAGAAAACTAAGTAGAGCATCAGCCTCCTCAAAAAGTATTAATCTCTTGGGGCTGAGAGGATTGAACACTCCTCAATTAGCTCTTATGCATTTTTCATTAACATACACTACTGGAAAGTTCCAATTTCTTGTGTCAAAACAGTTAAATAAGGCCCATATACAACTTCTTGTTTAATGGAAAAAAATATTCAGAGATGATAGCTTATTCAAAATATTGTTGGGCTATTCATAATTTTATGGGCTATATTCTTCAACTCCGTAAGTGTTCTGTCCTTAATGACAATTTATTTTGGCCCTCTGTTATATGTCCCCCTCTTAGTGAAACCCTATAAACTATTCCACTACACTATCAGTCTAAATATGTAATGGGAAAGAGGACATGAATAGAGGTAAGCAGTAGAAACATATGTATGCGAAACAACCACTGGTTGTTCCTTCAGCTCTTCAGGGTGCCAAACTGAAATGGCAGGGATCTATGCTTCAAATAGCAGGCAAGCAGAATCACTGGAGTGAATGCGAAATTGCAGGTCCATCTGTATGGTCGGTAAAATCCAGCTGCATCTTAAAAGTTTGGTTCTACAAGTCCAGCTCTTACTCACATAAACATCTCATAAAGTTACGGATTCTCCTAATGCTGTTATTATTTCAGTAGTATTTCATACATTGTCCCATTGCAGTTTTCTCATCAGCCCAGTGCATTTTTACTTGTGAACACTCGGTGACCTCTAAGTGCTACATAAACCTAAGTTCCATATGTTGTCTTGGGCTTTATTTCACTGTTACACAATTATTGAACACATTTACGCTATATACTTGTTGCACAAGTTCTCTCAAATATAAAACGCCAGAGTCAAGGTCTTCCATATAAAGTAGATTCCATGCTGGAGATGTACAAAGCAACTCTATGCCATGGTCATTATGGCTCTTCACCCATTAGTCCTACCATGGCCATCAGAGCTGTCTGCATTCTGTTCAATGTAGAGTGAATGCCTTCACTCTATTGATAACAGTAAAATAGAAAAGTGCTTGCCTGTGATTACCTTTTTTTCACATTTCACTGAATTGCTCACTGTATTGTTACTTTATCTTTCCATCCGTTCCTATGCCATCTATGTTCAGCTATTGTATCCTACCTAAAGTGGAGACTATGTGTTCTAGCCATCCCATGTGTCTGCAGAGGTCCATAGCTAGTGGGAGAGATGCTGCTTTCTCATGGTACACCTGCGAAACACATTTTATAGAAAACTACAACATTGCTGAAAATGTAAATGTTCTCCAGAAGAAAAACATCTCCATGTGCACCACTGAGAATCAGGATGATCTGGAATAAACCACTATGGCATAATAATGACTCTTTGAAGTTGGCAGGAATGGATTTGTTGATCAGTAGCAAATTGTGACCAGGGCCACATTTGCCCAAAATTTATATTCGCTTTTAAGCCTTTTCTTTAAAAAAGAAAATTTATTTAAAAAAGCTGAAGAACAAATTGGACAGGAAATTTTAATCAAAAAAAAAAAAAAAGATTATTTCAGTTTACATAGCACAGTTTGTTTTTTGTTTTTTGTTTCCTCAAAGTGGGAAAATACAAAATCTTAAACAATTTAAACATTTTTCCTTTGAAGAATTACAAGCAAGAATAAAGTGATGTGCTGTCTGTGCTCTAAGAAATGGTGTTGCTTCTGTTAGTCATACTTAGAGCAAGTATAAATGTCTCCATGAGTATAATGGCTTTCTGAAACTGCATTTTGCAAGCTATATTGAGATACTATGTATATTCTGCTTGATGTTCCTTTGTTTAAATGTTTAACAGTAGAAAAAAACTGCAGTTCACAATGGGTTCAAACACCGTGAAATGCTGCTGACTATCTCAAGGTGCACAAATAAGATTGGCTTTTAGCACTTTTAATGACACCAAAATTAGCCATAATAGGTGTGGGAATCCACTGATTCAGTGTCTTTTGAATTATTATTGCTGAAAAGAGCCATCTTCTGTTGTTCTTTTCTTACATACCTTCAGCTTAAACACATACAGATAGTGTACCAACTGCAAAAACACATTTGGAGTTTTAGTGAAGCCAGTTGGACACTTTAAAATTTGTTGCTTCTCCTACAGTTAAGACCATAAGATCTGGGTCAAAATTGACTATGAAATGCATTTTTAAATAATAATTTTTCAAGCAATCCTTGTTAATTACTTTACATTTTAACTATATAAGTTCAAGTATTCAAACAGACAGATAGCAGAATAATCAGCAGAGTTAGTATCTAGATAGATAAAATTAATACTAATTTACTCTAAATTCCCCAAGGTTTGTGGTGAGGTTTTAGGCCTAGATTTAAAATTGGCAAAGTTTAGTAGGAGAGACAAGGGAAGGAGTTTGACTCTACTTTCCAGTTCAGACCAATCTCTGGCAAAATTTAATTTTTAAATATCTCTGCAAATTAGTCTTATTTTTGTAACTTCTTGCACATGTTCTGTGTGCTGATGGATGCCCTATTCACTCCGTCCTCTGCAGGGAGCTGGCAGTCTGCAGAAATCTAAGAATCTGGAGGATCAAAGCTTTTGGTACTTAATAAATTTGCATATCTTCTTGAGACCAGCACAATGTGTTAAAAGCGTTACTTCATCTTTTCCGTATTTTAATACAATATTCTCTGAACTACAAAACCATTGTAGTTAATGCTGCTTTTTCAATTGTAGAAAAGCATCTGTCTTGAGATATTACCTTATACTTTCATTTCAATATTTTCCCCACCTTTAGTCAGTAAGAAAATATGCTACCCTCCAAAATATTATGATAGGTTACAAAAAGTACCTCTTGTCTGCAGGGAGGATGACACATTTTTCTTCACAACTAAGAAGAGCCTCTGTCAAAGCCAGATTTCTGGGACTTCATTTCCAGGAACAATTTTCTAAAGTGACAAACACTATGGGGAAATCTGTGCTAACTGTTAAAAAACCTACAACTGAGTTATTTGCAGTACTGTCATGCTAACTTTCACCTCAATAAGACCAAAGAAATCTCAGGAGGGGACTCTGCTAATAGCTTCTTACTGACCTCCTTGCATCGGACCCTTCTGGTGAATGGTGGCCCAGTGGTGAATATGGCAAATGAGGTGTGAAAGCACAGATTTTTTTTTTTTTTTTTAAAGAGTTATACAATAGATATATTTTTCCCCTAGAATTCTCTGCCTCAGACCTTCCATCATGGAAACCCAAGCATGACCTGGAATATTAATTGTGCCAGGTCAAGCATACTGGCAAATGTACCATTTGTTACCCAGTCATCCTTAGCATTACATTAATATTTTGAATCATTTTGCATTTCTAACACTCTATCATTTAGTTTCCTCCCAATCATTTTCTTATCTTTATAATTAATGGTGGCATATAAAAATAGAAAAAAACCCATAAGAAAACAAATATTAATTTAATGAACATTAGCAAAGAAAATATTTGTTGGAGTTTTTTTTATCTTCTGTACTGCTTTCACTTCTAATCCTATATTTAGTCTATGCTGTAGAATATCCATTTTTGTCTTTTCCTGTTCAGCATTTCTATATGGACAGAAAGACTTAACTGATTTTTCCTAGAATACAACAAAAAAAATTATTAAGGAGCTTGTCTTGAAAGCTAAACTATGACGGAAGGGAGCTGGAAAAGAAATAGAAACAAGGAAGCAAGAAAGGAAAGAAAAAGGTGC